TTCAACAGAATTGTCGGGGGTCCTGCCCCGACACAGGAGCCGGGGAAAGGGAGGTGAGCTGTCCGCCCATTATCCACAGCCTCCCTGGGAGACAGTCAGACATGACAGGGAGCCAGTCAAGCAGGAACTCGTTTATTGCAGGCGTCACAGAGCTTATAAAGGCAAAAACCATAAGCGGGAAACCCCCGGCAGAGCGTCCAATCATTTTAAAGGTCAACTTGAGCATGCAGTCCCTTCTTCATTGCAAAGCATAGCAAGGTGATCGCGCGCTGCCAGGATGGTGGGAGCCAACCAGCGATTCTTCCAAACAAGTCTGATCAGCAGGAACTCGTTTATTGCAGGCGTCACAGAGCTTATAAAGGCAAAAACCATAAGCGGGAAACCCCCGGCAGAGCGTCCAATCATTTTAAAGGTCAACTTGAGCATGCAGTCCCTTCTTCATTGCAAAGCATAGCAAGGTGATCGCGCGCTGCCAGGATGGTGGGAGCCAACCAGCGATTCTTCCAAACAAGTCTGATCATGCCCCGGCCATTTCCTCTAGGCGCCAAACCAGTCTGGTCACACCCCAGCCATTTGCTCTAGGCACCATCTTGCCTCGCCCTGGCCTCAGGCCCCCACACAGAATCATGGAAGAAAATTTCCCAAACTTAAAGACATGCCCATACAAATACAAGAAGCATATAGAACACCAAACAGACAGGACCGGAAAAGAGACTCTTGACAGCACGTCATAGTAAAAACACTACACGTACAAAACAAAGAGACAATACTGAAAGCTGCAAAAGAGAAACAAGACACATATAAAGGAAAACCCTTTAGGGTTACAGCTGACTTTTCAGTGCAAACTATGAAAGCCAGAAGAGCCTGGACCAACGTTTTCCCAGTTTTAAATGACCACAGATGCCAACCCAGCTTACTATACCCAGTCAAAATGTTGATTATAGTCGAAGGGGGAAAGAAAAATTTTCCATGACATAAGTAGGCTGAAGGAATTCTTTTTCACAAAACCAGCTCTTCAGAGAGTTCTGGAAGCAATATAAAGAGCTGAAGAAAGGAATTACTATACCCAAGGGGGTGTGGAAAGAAAGTCAATGAAGGTATAACTGTGGAAAAGTACAGCTATATCAAAAAGACACAGACTAGGTGAATGGATTAAGAAACAAAACCCATCTTTTTGTTGTCTGCAAGAAACTCCTCTCATTTTCAAGGACAGACACTATCTTAAAGTGAAAGGATGAAAAAAATATATCAAGTAAATGGTACTAAGAAAAAAGCAGGCATAGCAATTCTAATATCTGACAAAATAGGCTTTAATCAGAAGAGATAAAGAGGGCAACTTCATTCTGATCAGAGGAACAATAGATCAAGAAGATATTACAATCATGAACATATAGTCACCAAACTCTGGTGCACCCAACATTTATTTATGTTCAGAGTTCTAGAGGGAATTGGACTGGAGGGACCATACCATCTGGGAAGTGTGTATATAGTTGAATAAAATTGTTTGGGATGTTCTGTGTAATATGCACACACAAATCAACAGATTTTTAAAAATGTATTATATTTGAGGAGGAAGCATGGAAATTTATATCATGTTAATTAGTAGAGGTGATAAACATTACCATTGAAATCTACCCAATGACTTTATAGACATACACAAGTGCCAAGGATCCAAGTGCAACCGATTATGACTCATAATAATCAGATACATACAGATTAGAGATGCATGTGCCAGCATCTCAGTGTTAGTAGCAAAAACAATGAGTCTTTCTGCAAGGAACAAAATATTCTAAAATGAAAGGGCGATCTTTTTTAAAGTTAACTCAATTTTATGTCTTACAGGGCTTATACTGATTTCAGTATTGTATAACTATATCAACTCAACTGTGAACCTAGAAACTTGCACCCACTTGTGACAGAGATGTACTCTTGCTCTGGAGTGTGTTACCGAATATGTTAAAGCTGTGGTGAAATGCTTCTTCTAATAATGTAGTTATTAAAAATTAAAAATAGTGACTAAAAAATAATAATAATAATTAGTAGATGTGAAAAACATTACCACTGAAATCTACCTGATGACTTTATATCCATGCTTAGAGGCCAAGGAGCTCAGAAAGTAACTGACTATCACTAGTTATAATCAGATATATAGAGATTAGAAACGCATGTGCAAACGTCTTAATGTCAATTGCATTGAAAATGAATTTTTCTGTATGAAACTTTATTTTAATAATGAAATGGAGATCTTTTTTAAAGTAATATTTTAAAAAACAAATAGATGTACTCTCTTTGAGCCTTTTGCTTTACTCTATGCTTAAACAATTCTAACCTATGTTTATTACAAATCTGTGTTTGTAAATAATTCTCTTTTCTTGCTAATACCTTGACTAACTTGGTTTTGAAATTCTTGACATTTTCCTGGAAAGATGGCTCAGTGGCTAAGAGCACTGACTGCTCTTGCAGAGGAACTGGGCTCAATTCTCAGCACCCACATAGTAGCTAACAACTGTCCGTAACTACACTTCCAGGGGAATACAACGCCACCTTCTGACCTCCACAGGCGTTGCATGACACGGGTGCATTTGCACACATGTAGGCAATACACTCATATACATAAAATAATAATAAAATACTTTAAAAATGTTATTTTAGTGAAAGCTAAGACTGTAACTGCATCTGTTGTTTATGATGATGATGTTGTTGAAGATGGAATTTTACCTGAGTAATGTTAAATGATATATAGTAATGCTAAATGATATATAGTTAATTTAAGATTAGAAATACAGCAAAGTCCAAAATGAGGCTGAGTAAAGCATCTTTGTAAAATTCATTAATACTCTGAAAGGAGTGAATTCTAAATCTTGCTCATTCTCTTTTTTTTCAAGCTTCGTTTTTTTAAACAGGACCTCATGTTGACCAAGCTGGACTGAAACTTACTATGTAGCTGAAGATGACCTAAAACTCCTCTTCCTCCTGCCTCCACTCTTCCTTGTGCTGTGATTACAAATGTGTATTACTACATCTGTCTCTGAAGTTCAACTTTTTTTCCAACTTCAGCTCAATAGAGCCAAATTTGTAATCTTAAAAACTGTTTATAATGTTTATATGTGTATACTTTTACCACATTAAATTTTCTGAGCTAGTTTAAAATAGAAAAATAGATTCAATGCCTGATCTTATTGTTAAACAATATCTTTATGGTGGTCAAGCTTCTATACCAGCACTTGGGAGGCTAAGGCAGAAGGCCACAAGTTACTGGGATGGTAGCACATGCCTATAATCCCAACACTAGGGAGACAGGGGCAGGAGGATCAGTTTGAGCCAACCTGGTATACATATCAAATTCTCAACCTTAGCTGATACATCTGAGGTGAGGCAGGGGGAAATGAATGATTGTAGAATACTATAACCAAACATCTAAAATGTTAATAGTTTTATTGGCTGTGGATGTAGCTCAGTGGTACAGTGGTTGCCTAGTGTGTCTCAGGGTTCTATCCCTAGTCCCTGGAATAAAATGCTAATACTTTTTATTTCTGGATAGGCAATATTAGAAGTGTTTTGCTATTGTTGCTTGTATTTAGACATCCTCAGTGTATCTTTGCTGCATCTGTAACAAAAATGATAGCTCAAGTTTTTACAACTGTAATGTATCTGAGCATCTATGTTTTATGTTTTTATATGGTTCCTTTCCTTCTTAGGAGACAGAAGAAATTGATGAAGCATTGAAGATAGCTGGCAATAATTTTGAACAACTAAATATTGCTGTAAAAGTAAGAATTTTGAATAATTAAATTCTACCAGGAAGTAAAGTATGACCTTGTTATGAAAAAACCCACATGGGGGGAGCAGTACTGAGGATTGAAGGATTAAACCTATAGGGTTATGCATGTGAGGCACCTTGTCACCACTGAGCTACAACCAAAATGACCTCTCTAAATGTGTACATTTTGATGTGTTTCACTAGGTTTGGGCTTAAATTCAGTTTTTATAAATACAGTAACCTAATAATATAGAAACAGGTAAAAGAATGGAAACTCCCCACCATAATCAGCCAGAATTGGATTTGTAGTATTACAGCACTAGGAGCCTAACAAACTTGGAGATTATAAGGAATCATGACTTGTACTTTCTCAAGCAACAATTTTTAAAGCTGTTTAAAAACAAACATGAAACAACTAACATTTTCATTCAAGTGTGGTTTCTAATTTGGGGGCAGAGTGGTTTTTTTGACTTAGAGAATCCTATAAATGACTTGATGCTGTAATGACAAAAAGGGATAAGAAAAAGTTTAGAAAACATCAGTAGATTTTTTTAGTAACTGGGTTTTTCTTTTACTTTGTTTCATCAGATTATCAGTACAAAATGCCAACAAGATGTAATCTTGCTGACAAGTGCCAGAGTATAAAGTTAAAAGTTGGCCTTCGTGGTTTGCTCTATTTATTACCTAATCACCTGTGTAGATATTTTTGAAAAATCCAGAAAGTAACTTACACATTCAAAATCACACTGAGAGCACAACTTCAACAAAGTAGCAATACCAGAGTAGGTCTTTCACTTGTTCTTCTCAGATGCTTGAGCACAGACAGAATCAAGCAAGAAAGGAATCACACAGTCTAGCAGATGCTGTGGAGAAACAGTTTGATAAACTTCTTGCATCTCTTCACTCCAGGTAATAACTTAAAAATAAAAACATAACGAAACTGAAGTTCTTAACATTAATTCATCATTCTGTTCCTTTATTTAGGATGAAGTAACACGTAACTTTTAAGTAATGTGGAAGGTAGGGCATGAACCATAAAAACTGGTGTCTAGCTAGGTGTGGTGACTCATCCCTATACTCAGTGCACTTAGGAGGCTAAGGCAGGTGGGTTTCTGTGAGTTTGAAGACAACATGAGCTACAGTATGAGGTCCTGTCTCAAAACAAATGAACAGGGTTGGAAAGATGGCTCAGCAGTTAAGCACACTGGCTACTCTTCCAGAAGACCCAGATTCAGTTCCCAACACCCACATGGCAGCTAACAGCTGTACATAACTCCAGTTCCAGGGAGTCCAGTGCCCTCTTCTGGCATTGCATGCATGTGGTACACTTACATACATTCAGGCTGAATGCTCATGTACATAAAATAAAAATAAATCAAAAAAAATTAAAAACAGACTGATTTTTAGAACTTCAAAATCAAATACTTTTTGTACTTAAAAAGTTTGTCTACCTATTTTGTAATCTCAAAGATAACTTTAAAGTTAATAAGCTGCTTTTAGTTGGGTCCCCCTCTCTCTCTCCCTCCCTCCGTCCTCCTGCCCTCCCCTGCCCCTGCATTTTTTTAGAGGGAGAGAGTATTACTACATAGCCCAAGCTGCTTTCAACCTCACAATTCTCTTGCCCCAGTTTCCCAAGTGCTAGGATTACAAGCCTGAACCATCAGACTTCGTTCTTAAAGCAGTTAACACAGAAAAATATTTTCAAAACCTAACTCATGTTGGAGAGTTCTACATATCTAGGAAATACAGACTTTTTCTTCTGTATAGGACTATTATTTTCCCTTGTTCTTGTTTCCATCAGAGCAGAAGCCTTTCTGATAGGCAGCTACTAACAATTTCATGTCAAAGCTATTTGACATATGCTGGGTTTTTTTTTTTAAGTCTTAGAGTTTTAATTCAGAAATGGTTATCAGGATGGAAAAAACAATCACAGACATTGGTAGCACAACCTTAAATAGATATACAAAAGAACATATGTATTTGTTAGCAAATATATATATATACATACAAATTTATACTATGTTATATATTTAAATTTTTTAAAGATTTTTTTAATTTGGTTTTATTTTGTGTGTGTGTGTTACACAGAACATCCCAAACCATCTTATTCAACTATACACCACTTCCCAGATGGCACCTTCCCATAGCCTCCCTCCCCCCACTAGAGTCTTTATACTCTGATACCCTTGTGTCTGCTGTGTTGTCAGTACCCCCAGCCATTCCCCACTACTTGTCCATCAGGCGAATCTAGTCAGCCTATCTAGAAGTCTTTGTTTTAGGAAGGTCAGCTGTTCCTCATCTAGCAGCAATCAGTTATCAATATTCCTTTAGATAAGATTGGTGTGTGCTGTTCATTTTCCCAGTTCTCTGCTGGGTTACTATCTGGGAGTCCCTTTGGCCACCCTGGCCAACAACTCAAAAGAAGGTATCTCCTGTGTGGCATTGTTGCTTGTTATGTAGCCTTTTGCTATACATACGGACTCTTAAAAAATTATATTGGCGCTTTTCATCTTTGGTTATAATTTCGTTTTGTGTATTTAATGCCATACAGTTGGCCCAGAGAAACCAATTTATTTTTACTCTTAAGGTCATTTGAGGATCTGTTCCTCAGGGGTCACATGGGCTTGGGAGGAGCCCCTGGCTCCTTACTTTTACCAGCTCTGCCTATGTGAAGACAAGTCAAAGGTCCTGCTCGACCATGGCTGGCTTCACTTGGAAGCATGAAGTAAATGATTCCTCTTTGTTGACCCTCCTCTTTGTAGACTGGACATGGGTTCAGGTCCATCTGGTGGGGTCTTCTCGGCCTCCTTGATCAAGAGGACAGGTGACCCACCACAATTACGGGACATTTTGAGAGATGCTCATATTCCCCTGGAACTAGTTGACCTAGGTGGGCAAGGAGCAAAATCTGTTCTTTATGTCCCTCTGACCAAATTATTATAGGCCTCAAAGTATGTCTGTTAAACATCCAAGAAGGTTAGTTCCACCAGTCTGGTACTTTTAATTACTGTGTGTCATGTAGATAAATCTTGGGCAAAGACCAATTATTCTCAGATAAACCTTACCTAGACATGTATTTCTTGCTCTGGTATGTGTAATTTGTCAGTAGGTTCTTAGAGTAATATGGTTCCTTCTGGTTTTTAAAACTATGCATTATTTATCTCTCACATTGTCTCACCCCTCCATCATGGTTTCCCCAATTAAGATGCCCACATTTCCCCCCTTTCTCCTTTAATAATACCCTTCTCCTACGGTCCTACCTCTTTTGAGCTCCTTCTTTCCCTTTATCCCCTAGGTTCCTTATATACCCTTGCCTCCCCCCTCCCTTAAACTAACCCACTTTTTATCCATATCTCCCTTATTAAGGACTGTTTACTACTGTTCTCTTTCAGGTTATTTCTTTACTTTACCTCCCTGTTTCCTTTCCATTATCCTGATTCCTGTAGTTATGTTTGGATATATACTCACTTATCAGGGTTTGGTTCTAGGATCCACATATGAGGGAGAACATATGTAGATTTTTTTTTCTGAGACAGTGTTACTTCACTTAGTATAACAGTTTCTAGTTCCATCCATATACCTGCAAATTTCATGATTTCATCTTCTTTACTGCTGAGTAAAACGCCATCGAATGAATGAAACACATTTTCACTATACACACATCAATTGAGGGACACATAGGTTGTGTCCATCT